CCTGGTGCCCCAGCGGGCGGTGGAGATGGATATATCTCGGCCCCTGGATGCACGAATGTGGAATATGTCCATATCCACCGCCCGCCGAGGCTCCGCAAACTGACCCTCCAGTCGGAGGTCATGTGTCAATTCCTGCCTCGGAGCTGATGCGTCGCCCACGTCTGCGGGTCTCCCGCGGGGTCCCGCCTCGCGCACCGGTGCGAGCCAGAGCGCACGGCCGCAGCCATCCAGGGGGAGGGCGGGCGGCTCGCGAGAGCGGAGTGCGCCGGGCATCGCGAATGGATCACGCACCTACAGCAGGCAGACACGACTCGGCGAGAAGGTCGGGAACTTTTGAGAAGCGCTGCGGGCAATAATTACATCCACACCCAGTGCGTCTCGGATTCCTGGGCTCTCTCCCCCAGAGAGCGTAGACGCACTGGACATGGATAAAGATCTGGCCCCAAGAGGCCTGATTTTATCCATATCCAGCGCGCCTCGGCGTCGCGGCACCTCTGCCCGAAGAGTCCACGACGCTCTGGATATGGATATAAGCACTGCCCGCAGGCGTGTCGCCGCGGCGGTCCCGCACGCTGCGGCTTGCGAGCGGGTGGCGGTGTCGCTCCGCTCCGCGGGGGGCGGGGATCTTGGAAACGCTCGGGGCGTGGACGCCTCGGGGCCGTGAGGTGGATAGCGGGTCGCACGGAGGCGAGGAGGAGGAGGACGAGGAGGAGGAGAAGGGAGAAGAAGGAGGAGGAGAAGGGAGGAGGAGGGAGGAGGAGGAAGAGGAGGAGGAGGGAGGGGGAGGAGGAGGAGGAGGAGGAGGAGAAGGAGGAGGAGGAGACATACTTTCCAAAAGTTCTCGGCCGTAAGGCTTCCTGCTCAGGCATGGTGCAGAGGGGGGTACGCACGTTAAGCAACTTGCTACAAGAAGAAATCTGGGGGCACACGGTCTGTCGATTCTGGGCATCGCGGGACGCCTCCAGACTCCGCTGGGTGCCTGGGGTCGCAAGAGAATGAGAAGTCTCCGGGGGGCACCTGGTGGCGGGACGGTTTCTTTTTCGGCGTGCCCCCTGTTGGGGAAGAGCCATCTTTCAAGAACCACCCATTGTCGGCGGTGGCCGGACCTCCTTTTAGTAAACCTCCCCTTAGTGAAAGCGGCCTGGGACCGAAACCGACGGAACTGGACCCGCAAAAATGACGGCCGCGACGCCCTCTCGCGAACCGAAAACGGCCAATTCCTTAATCGACGTGTCAGGGTAGGAGGTCTATCGAAAATGATTCCTTGACCAGCCAACCCTCCCAGCCAACCCCTCCGGCCAGCCCTGGTCAGGATTCCCGCCCATAGTGACAAGCTTCCTCCTCCTCCTCCTCCTCCTCCTCCTCCTCCTCCTCCTCCTCGACCGCCTCCACCTCCGCCCCCTCTTGAGAACAGGAAAAAACAGGGGGCCACGCAGGGCAAAGAGTAACCGACCGTCCTCCTCCTCCTCCTCCTCCTCCTCCTCCTCCTCGTCCACTTCTCGCTCGTCCTCCGGCCCCCCGCTGGCATGCAACGGCCTCCGACCCAGGCCGCCTTCCCGCGGACACCCTCCTGCCCCCCCCCCCCCGGCGGCGCACCCTCGAGGGAGGGCCCTCGCAATCGCCCGCTCGACCTCGCAGCCGCACGGTGGCCCTCGCGGGCGACTCCCCTCCCTTCCCTGGCCTTCGGGCCGTGGCTCGGGCCGCCGCCGGCCGTTCGGGACGACTCGGGCACCAGCAGAGCGCTCTCTTGGTGAGGCGCAGCTGCTGGAGCGAGCCCTGGGGCGAGGGAAGACGCTCACGAGGCAACGAAACAACCCCAGGAATCCTGGAAGCACCCCTCCTCCCAGAGGATTCGCCCCTTCGACCCCGAGGAGGAGGAGGAGGAGGAGGAGGAGGAGGAGGAGGAAGAGGAGGATGAGGAGGAGGAGGAGGACGAGGAGGAGGAGGAGGAGGGAGGAGGCCCCCCCCACTAGGTCCCCCGAAGAAGGTGAAGTACTTCGAGCCCGGCAGCGTCGAGCACTGCAGCTTGCAGCCCGCGGGGTCCTGTCGGGTCTCTCCGTCGCACCCTCCGTCGTCGCCGACGCCACCGCCGCCACCGCCGCCACCGAGATCGTCGTCGTCGTCGTCGTTGTCGTCGTCGTCGTCGTCGTCGTCAAACCCCTCGTCGTCGCCGCCGTCGCTGCCGCCGGCGTCTTCGTCGCCAACGTCGCCGCCTCCGCAGTCGTGTCTTGTCGTCGACACCGCCGTCGTCCACGGTGCGAGGCGCGACGGCCGAGGTCTTCTGGACGCTCTTGTCACTAGCGGCGAACATATCCATATCCATTTGGAGTCCCGAAACGGTGCGGTCCGTCAGTGCACGGTTTTGGGACCTCGGATGCCCCAGTCGCCCGAGACGTCCTCGGAGAACGACCCGAGCCCCAACCGTGCGGTGACCCCGAATCCCCGCCGACTCACCACACGGGGCGGTCACCCCCGGTGTTGGAGGCCCCCGACACAGCCACGCCCTCGCGGTCTGCACTCCGGGGCGCGATCCCGCGGATGGAGGCCTCGGGGGCGTCCTGGCACGATGGTTTTGGGCAGAGAGTTCCCGTGATCTGTTCGCGGGTGCGTGCTGTGGCCCCTTCGGCGGGCGTGGTGGGGGCCTCCTGGGAGCCTGTGGGGGGCCTCGCAGCGCTCGTGGTGCTGCTTCGGGGTGGTGCTGCGGGCAGCTTCGGCCGTCCTGGGCGCTCCTGCGGCCGAAGGGGCGGTGATGGAAAACACCCATCGAAAGAGCGCGAGACGTCAAGCAACGGTGGACTTTTGGGCGCCTCTTTTGGGGGCCCGTGGAATTGCCCTGGTGCTTCCGCGTGAGACCCAGGCGTCGCGACCAGAGCTTATGTAGCAGCAGGAGGGGGCGGAGGAGGAGGGGGAGGGATGGAGGAGGGAGGGGGGATGAGGGAGGAGGGTGGAAAGTCCAGGCGTTGCGACCGGAGCTTGTAGCAGGAGGAGGCGGAGGAGGCCGTTTGGAACTCTCCTGGGGCCCTGTCGCGGGGCTTCTTGGGTTTCTCCTGGGAACTTCGGGGGCGGGGGCCTCTTGGGGGGCCTCTTGGGGCCTCCCTGGGGCATCTCGGAGGAGCCTCTGGGGGCCTTGCGGGTGCCTCGTGCCATCTCTGGGGGCAGATCTGGGGCCTCCCTCGACTTTGGACCCCGCTTGGGGCTGAGGGAGAGGAGGAGGAGGAGGAGGAAGAGGAGGAGGAGGAGGAGGAGGAGGAGGAGGAGGAGGAGTGAGGAGGAGGAGGAGGAGGAGCAGGCAGGAGGCAGGAGGAGAGGAGGAGGAGAGGAGAGGAGGAGGAGGAGGAGTAGGAGGAGGAGGAGGAGGAGGAGGAGGAGGGGAGGAGGCCCCATCACCCCCCTGGCCTGGCCTTCTGCAGCTCCGCGGTGCCGGCGTGCTTGCGGGAACATCTTGGGTCGTCTTTGGGGCCGTCGTGAGGGCCTACGTGGACGTCTTGGGGCCCTCTTGGGCCGCCTTGGTGTTGTCTTGGGTCGGTCTGGGGGGCCTCTCTGGGGACCTCCTGGGCTCCCGGAAGAGAGACACAGCGAGAACGCGAAAACTGCCCAAAGAATGATTGAATTAAATTTGCCTCTGGGTGCCCTCTTGGGGATACGGTCTTCTGACGGCTCAACTGGGGTGTCCTGAAATCTTCGAGGGCAGTCTTGAGGCGGCCATCCTGGGCAAACTTGGAACCCTCTTAGGACACATTGGAGACTCCTTCGGACCTCTAAGACGCCTCCGTGACGCTCTTTGACATCCCTTTTGGAATGTTATGTTTCTTGCCGGGCCATCCAGGAGCCACCCTGGGCTCCCGGGGAGGTGCGCCTTCCCAAGGTCCCGGCTTAGACCCCAGGATCGGGACCGCCGTGGGAACCTATATACATCGGCGGGAAGAAGCAGGTAGAAGCATGAAGTAGGAAGGCGGATGGAGTAGATTGGGTTCGGGCCCGTCCGAAGAACAACAACCAAGCCAAAACATATCGATGATTGAAGTAGGAAGGCGCTTGACGTTGATTGGGATCTGGGCGTCCAGCAGTACCGACTTTCAACGACCGACGGGTACAGATCCAGCCCACAGCCTCAGTAAGCCGCCTCATCCTCAGAATCTTGGCTGTCCTCGGATCGTCATCGAATTCAGGCGCTGTTCTCGGGTCCTCGCCGCGCTCCTGTCTCCTCCGCGGTACGAGCTGCAATGCGAGCCCCTTTGCCAATGAACATCATTGTTCTCAGTCCAGTATTACCAAGCGGTTCCTATTTGGAGGATGAGGAGGAGGACGACGACGAATTGCTAGAACTGGAAAGGATGATGATGATGAGGAGGTGGAAACAGGAGTGGGGATCATTTGGTTATCACGACCACAGGCGGCGCGACTTGATGTAGGGGCTGGAACGCGTTCTCCCCTGGTGAACGGAAGGCGCTCGTTCGCGATCCCGTGACCGGCGATTTAAGGATGGGAAGTTTGATGTAGCCGCGAACCCCGACCTTGAAACACCTGTGGGCATGTGTGACAATCTGCGAAGACGGGTGCAGATGGGAACAACGGAATGAGCCAGGCCGAAGAGGGGGATGAGGATCGAGGAACAAAGAAGGGGATCAGAGGGACGTGTCATACTGGTCCCCACGTTGCCCAGCTGGCCACCGGAGGACGAATCGTCTCGGGGCCCTGGAGGGCCTCTCGGGCGTCTCCTGGGGCGCCTTGGGCTCCTCCCGGGGGGGCTGCCCTGTTGGGGCGTACCTCGTCTTCTGGGGGCGTGGGGTGGGGGGTGGGCGCTGCCACCCTGGACCACCGTCGTCGTGATCTGCGTCGACCCCCGCAGGTCTGGACCCTCGACCCGCTCCCCAGGGCCGGCCTTCCACACCGAGCCGTCGTCTGACGGCCCCGAGGGCCAACGAGGGCCTCCAGGGGGGCCCGGAGGTGGCGAAGCTCCTCTCGTCGTCTCTGAGCTCACGGCGCGAGGTGGGCGCTGCAACCGCTGCCGCCGACGACAGTACAAGCGAGCCCAATCCAGTCACGCCAGGATCGGCGGCGAGCGAGGAGGGGAAGTGAGAAGGCCCTTCGCAGCAGGCGGCGGGACTTCAAAGAAACCCTCGCACGGTCTGAGAGGCTCTGTGTCTTCGGGGGAGGCTCACGACACTTCTCAGAAGGCCGGGGGACTTCCGAGACCTCTGAGAAGGCCATCTCCTTGTGTAGAAAAGCACACGCTGTGGAAGAAACACGCACGTGGGAGAAAAAAACACAGTGGGAAACACGACAAACAAAACATACACAGTGCTGTTGTTTCCATAGTGTGTGTTTTCTTCCACAGAACGTGTGTGTTCCCCCCCCCTCGGTCGCCGACAGGAGGGCGCGGAGCCGAGGCACCAGCGGGCGGCGCCACGAGCCTCGTGTGGGGGCGGGCGGGGGCGCGGCGGCAGGCTGCGGGAGAGGCCGCGGCCCTGCCTGCAGGACGACGGTGCGGCCGAGCCGCGAGACGCCGGTGGAATCGGGCCCTAGCCGGCTTGGCAACAGCAGGCCCACTCACACTTTGGTTTGGACGCCCGAAATGGGTACGGAAAGAACGGGTACAATGCCCAACTACAAATGTTGTCCCAAACCAACAGCGGCCGCTGTTGCGCAGGCGGCCTTCTGTCTCGAATGAACACGGGCCGCGGCGGCGTGGACAGCGAGTCCTGTTCAAATTGAACAAGATCCGCTGTTGGGCATTGCACCCATTCTTTCCGTGCCCATTTCTTTCGTGCAGATGTGGAAGCGGACCCTGGTTGGGAGGTCCAGAGCTCCAGGGGCAGAGGGCCTGTTCTGCAGATGTGTACGGCCAAACCACCTGGATGCACGCTCCCTGATGCCAGAAGGGAGAAGGGGGGCCCAAGTTGGGCTACGTCTTCATTGTGCTGTTAGCATTGGGGGTTCTTCCGTGCTCGATGATTCACCGCCCTGATACGCAACGCAGTCCAACACGCGCCCAGCCAACATGCAGCGCCTCGGAACGAGCGTACCAGGGCAGCTAAGAGTCGAGCTCCTTCGCTTCGTGGTCGACATTGATGGCGACATTTGCATGGAAAGATAAATTGGTCGGTCTGGCTTGAGCATGGACCGACCGTCCTGGCATTCCTATAGGCCTACCGCGACATGTTCTTAGAACCCCTAACATGTTTTTGAAGAGCAAAAACAATGTTTTATAACATAAGCCCGATGTGCTAAAACAAGACAGTCCCAGCCAGAAATGTTCTAAGAACACTTCGTGGGAACCACAAGAGGTTCTTAGAACATTGTCTGGTAGGCCTATAAGCACGCCAGGACGCTTCGCCACTGCTTGACTGGCGGTCAGAAGCCTTCACCTCCGCGGCATGGAGCCCCCGCCGCGCCAGGGAGGCGGGAGGAAGAGCGCCTAGCGCACCGGGCGACAGCGGCGGGTGCGAGAGCAGCGCGCGGAGCAGCAGTCGTTGTCGATCCAGCAGGCCTCGTTGATGCCCCTGCTGGGAGGCAGTGATGAGGGGGGGGGGTTCGGCCCAGAGGGGGGCTGGACTCGAGCTGGCCTGGCAGCCCACCCCACCCAGGAGCGCGCGAACTGGCTTATCGGAGGGCCCATCGCCCATCGCCTCCAGCTCGATGCTTCCCCCCCCCAGAGCCGATCCCCCCTATCGTTGCCCCCGACCTGCACGCAGGCTGCGACGTTTTGGCGGCGCGCGCGAGCGGGCGGCGCGACGTGGGGAGGCCTTCTGAGCAGGCAGGCGGGGGGGGGGGCTCCTTCGAAGGCCCCTGCCTGCGAAGCATCCCCCCCTGGCCTTCTGAGAAGGCCTCCCCTTGGCGCCACCCCCTCGAGCGCGCCGCCAAGATGCATTGACCGTGGCGTTGGCGGTGGCGTCATACTGCAGAAGCTGCTCGCCGCCTTCCCCAGTCACCTCCGCGGTGGTGCTGGGCTGCTCCGTCTTGACGACCTCCGGAGCCCGAGCCTCAGACAGCGCCGGCGCCGACGCACAGCGGCGGTTTCTCCAGTGGCAGCGCGAGGAGCAGCAGTCGATGTCGATCCAGCAGGGCTCCTGAATGCCAAGGCACGGCGGCTGCGATGCGTTGAACGTGGTGTTGGCGGTGGCGTTGTGCTGCAGAAGCTGCTCGCCGCCTTCCAGGACTGCGCTGGATCGAGTCGCGACACCAGATCGCGTCGGGAACGGAACGGAACGCCCGCGAATCGCCCCGAAGCGGATCGAAAAGGGATCGCCGCGCCCGGTGCGGGCTGCCGGGCCAGATCGAAGCGAATCGAAGCCGCAGCACAGGCCGGCGAATGGAGCCGCATCGAATGGGCTCGTGGGCGGCCTTGCCTTCCTCGATCACCTCCGCGGTGGTGCTGGGCTGCTCCGCCTGAAGGGGCCCAGGGATAAACAGATGGGTTGGCACAAATTTTCAGAATCCCAACTGTTATTCCTCATGTTTCCTGAATTGTTGTTTTCCCCTCCATTATCCAATTGTTGTTCACATTGTCCTGAAAACTAACCTTATTTGTGTCTGTACCAATTTTTCTATCGCGACCTGCGGGGACAGCAAGCGACCACAACCACATCGAGGACACACCCTGGCGGATGTCTTGAGCATGCCCAAGACTGCCGGAACACCGAAACCACTTTCGTACTGGTTGTGGCCGATGCGGCGTCCCGGGAAGGCCAGATCGATCACAACCACAACCAAAGTGCTCATGTCGAGGTCGGTGACTTCTCCCCCGATGGACCCTCTTGAAAAATCCACTTCGCCGTGGCTGTGGCTCCTATAGTTGCGCCCGGGTGACCGCCTTCGAAGCCCGAGCCTGAAGCAGCCCCACGCCACACGCCTCGCCGCCGTCGGCGGCGCACTCGTCGTCCGCCGCGAGCGCGGGGCCGAGCTCCTGCCGCGAGAGCTCCTGCGCCCACGCCGTGGCCAGGAAGAAGATCACCAAAGGCACGCGCAGCATGCCCATGAAGCAACACTTTCCGCAAGAGGTTCCGCGAACAAACCCGGCCGCCCTGGGACCTAGGCCCTAGTGCTTCAGCCAGAACTGCTTCGGATGATTGCGATGATGTGCACATTTGAATATCGTTTGACCGATCCCCATCTCCAGCGGCGTGGCCTGGGCCCTACTGGCCGATTGACCCCCCTAGATGGGGATATAGGCCGTTACCTTCGGGCTTCGAGGGGTGTATCCCCAACTGGGGTGGTAATTTGGTGGGGTCTCGAAGGGAATGGGATTGGGATGGGGATTGGTTAAACGATACTGAACATTGGCAGTGCTGATATAGTAGGAGGGTCGTGACGGACACGCGCAGCATGGCCGCCACGAGTTCGAGGCGGGGAGATATCCATATCCACATCCACCGCCTGGGGCACCAACTTCCTGGAACCCCAGCGGGCGGTGGACATAGAATTTGTTTCGGCCCCAGGGGGCACGAGCACATCCATGTCCCCCGCCTGCCGGGGTCCCCGAAGATCGATCCCCCAGGCGGTGGCTGTAGATATACCCCCGCCTCGGAAAGGGGGGCCCTTTTCGCAAGGAGCTCCGCGAACAGACCCAGCAAAGATCGGGACTACCTCCGAGTACTTCAGCCGGGACTGCTCGAGCAAAACAGGATACAGAAAGTGTCCCTTCGGGGCGTCTTGGAAGCCATTGGGGCTCCTCGCGGGGTCTGAGGGGACCTACGAGGCAATCTTAGCGCACATCTGGGCCGTGTGGCGCCTTCGGAGGCCGTCTGGTAGGCTTCTCTGAGCCGTCTTGGTCTTCGTGACACAGCCCGAACATGGGCTTGGGCTCCTGGTGACAGCGCTCACCGCGACACCGTTTGCTCGCGTGGCGGAGGCGTATGTATGTATGAAGCGGGGTGAGACGTGCATGAGCCCTTAGACAATCATGCGCTGCGTGTGGAAGGCGAGGGCTGCGGCTCCAAGGGCCCTGAGAAAGCGGAGGAGGCATGCAGACGAGGAGGCGAGGAGGGGCCACGTCAGGGGGGGACCCTCTCAGGTGGGGGCGCATCATCCTGGACTCAGCCATGCACCACCGAAAGACCGGCGACAGGCCCAGGATAGTGAATCCGCTCGTTCCTGGGCGAAGGGGGCCATCGGGCCCCCATCGGCGATCGATGCGCGATCGGGGGTCGATGCGAGCCCGCCCTGAGCCTATGCCCCCTCCCACGTTGCCCCTGAGGCGATCGGCAGGGGGCGCCGGGCGCGGTCCGACACCGTCGTGTTGGTCATGCCGATCAGCCACCAGGTCGCCCCCTCCAGCGCGCCCCCGCCCAGAAACCCACGCGCGGCCCGTCGGAAGCAGGAGAGAGCAGGCCTAAACCTGGGGGTGGGGAGCTGTCTTACTCCTCCTCCTCCTCCTGCTCCTCCTCCTCCTCCTGCTCCTCCTCCTCGCCCTGCAAGCGAAAAGAGGGAGATGAGGGAGGAGAGGAAAGAACGGAGGAGGAGGAACAAGAGAGGAGGACCAGGCGGAGGAGGATGAGGAGGAGGAAGAGGAGGAGGAATAGGATAAGGACGAAGGCGAGGGGAGGGGGAGGAAAGGGAGAGGGGGAGGGGGAGGGAGGACGCGGTGACGAGTGGAGGGCCTCCCGCCTGGAGGACCGCCAGGGTGGGGCCAGATGGCGCCGCGATGGGCGGGTACCGCCCCCGCCGCCCTGCGCAGAGACCGGAGAAAAGCCTCAATCATAATCGTTGTAGGGCTATAGGAGGGTTATGGGGCTATAGAGCTAGAAGGCCATAGGGCTATGGGTCTATAGGTCTATAGGGACACAGGCACATGAAGCCATGGGGCTACAGAGCTGCAGGGCTGTAGGGCTATACTGCTATCAGGCTACAGGGCTGTAAGGGCTATAGGGCTACATGGCGATTGGGCTTTAGGGCTATGGAGCCATAGGGCTATAAGGCTATGTGGATATAGGGCTATAAGGCTATAGGGCTATGGGGTTATAGGGCAATTTGGGCTATAGGGCTATAGGGCGATAGGGCGACAGGGCTATAGGGCTGTAGGGCTATAGGGCTACAGGGCTACAGGGCTATGAGGGCTGCAAGGCCATGGGGCTGTAGGGATGTAGGGCTCTATAAAACTACAAAGCCTTAGGTCTATAGGGTTACAGGGCTACCGTGCACCCTGGCACCCGGGCACCTGGGCACCCGGGGGTGCCGCCGATATCGATGCCGGACCTCACCTAACCAGATGAATCCGCTTTGGCCTCTACAGAGGCAACTTTTGATTGGGGAGATACAGGACGGTCACACAAAAATGTGAAAACATGAAATAGGACGCGGGATGATGTGGATCGGGTTCAGGTTCCCCCAAGGAAAAAAAACAAGACACATCGCAAGGCACGTCGATTATTGAACTAAGGCGGCGCTTGAAGTATGTTGGCATGTTGTCCAAAAAAGACATATGTATGCTGTGCAACATACGCCGTGCAATATATAGATATATGTATGTATATATATATATATACGTGGTGCTATCTATGTGGTGGCGTCGATGTTGCACAATCGAGGTATTTCCGATCTATGATGTGTATGTATGTAAGTCTGTTTGTCTGTCTGTCTGTATGTATCACTCGTACCCAGAGGAATCCAGACGGGTCCCGCCAGACAGACCTAGAAGGGCGTTCGACGAGTGCTCTACAAGGACCTGGGCAGCACGCCGTATATTGTAGTGATGCCTCCCGAGAGCCTCCTCACTGTCGAGGGGGCCAGGGTCGGGGGCGGTGCGCACAATATTATATATATATATATGGCAAGCCCGCGCAATCCTCTCGACGATCTCAGGCGTAGGGTGACCATCGAGCCCAAGGCGCGTAGAGGGACAGTCAGGAGGCGAATCGGGATGGTATACAAGCCTCCACAAAACTGGGCAATGAAGATAATGCAGCATGTCGTCACGACGCTGAGCACACTTGAATCTACACAAGCCAATCTCTGACGAGTGCAAACGCGCGCTAGTGAGCCAACCTCCTACAATCGTCTTTAGGACCGCACTCTGCCATGCTGGGGGGGCCCCATTCCGAATGAGGTCTCTGAGGGCATCCCAAAACGATTCCGAAAATGGGAGCTCCCAAGAGGCCATCCGCTTAGCGAGGGTGGGGTGGAGGACGTCGGGGTAGAGGGAGAGGCGAAGGGAGGAGGAAAGGAATCTCTGCACTCTCACGCGCCCCATGTCCCGAGGCTCCGGCAAGGGCAGCAAGGGCGGTGCGGGCGGCCGAGGCATAAACCTTCAGTGGAAAAGTGGCCTTGCTGGCCTCAGACAGGTGGACCACAATCGGCTTGGTCTTCCAGAACGCGGGCGACCACCAGCCAGAGACCATCTCCGCCAGGCTGCCAAAGGCGAGCGTGGTCTCGTACAGCGCCTTGTGCAAGGTCGACCAGTTAGTCGCAGTGCCCATGGCCGTGCGCATTCGCGTGGCCAAGCTGAGGACTTGCATGCTGGCTGGCCGCAGTACCGACCAGCTCCCGATGCCCAGAAGCCCAGCCAGCGAGAGCGACTGGGGCGGGAGGTGCCAGAGCTTGTGCCACGCCCAAGCCTCGCGCCTGACCAGCGCGCGGGGCAGCGGCACCAGCTGCATCAAGTAGCTGAGGGCCGTCAGCACGCGCGAGTTGTAGATCACAGTCGTGAGGTGCACAGGCGCGCCCTCACGGGCAAGGTCGCGAATGCGGTGGATCCATTTGGCGCCCGCCTCCTGCCACGCGTCATTCATCGTGGCGCCTGGACCCAGGATGTAGCCGAGGTACTTTGCGAACGGCACCGCGTCCATCTGCTCCCAGCCTGGCAGCTCCTGCGCGAGCCACCCCTTGATGCTGGCCGCCAGCTCCTCGGTGAAGGCGGCGTTCAGGGGCACTACCTTGCACTTGGCCAGCTTCAGGGCCAAGCCTGCTAAGGCCTGCGCCGCGGCGAAGACTCTGCGAAGGCGGAGCAGAAGCTTGCGATCCTGCAGGACCGTGCCCACATCGTCGGCGCAGACGCCCACCACGGAGGCCTCCCAGTGCGCCAAGATCTCCTCCATGTGGGCCACGAAGGGGTTCATGGCTACGGCCCACAAGGACCCTGAGAGCGGGCAGCCCTGAGCGATGCCCGCCGTGACCATCATGAAGCGGCGCAGCTCGCCCTCCATGGTCACGAAGGCCTGCGGCAACCAGTACATGCCCATGATGAGCTGGTAGAGGCCGCCCTGGAAGCCAGCCCGCAGCAGCACCGCGCGCAGGAAAGACACGGCCAGAGAGGGAAAGGCGTTGCCGAAGTCGAAGAGGACCATCATCGGCAAGCGCTGGTCCCTGGTAGAGGAGAAGCCAACCCGACGAGCCGCGGTGTCGAGCAGGGTAATGTTGTCCAGGAAGTTGCGCCCAGGCAGGAATCCCCTCTGAGAGAGGGGGAGTAGCGCTCGATGTCGAGCTTGATGAGATGGTTCACGCTGGCGGCCAGCAGCTTTACGTCCGTGTTCTTGAGGGCCAGAGGCCTCGTCGTGGATGGCGTCCGAGTCGGGCCCGAGGCAAGATCGTCGGCCTCGGCACCTTTGGGCAGGAAAACCATCAGGTGGTCATTGAGGTCAGGAGGTGGCGGGAAGCCCTGCGCGACCTCTAGACCCACCTGCGCCAGGTCCTCCAGAGGCCGCGGCGACCCACAGCAGCTCCAAGCATCACACGGCAGCCCGACTGGGCCTGGTGCCGACGCGCGAGCCCTGCGTGCCGCGCGCTGAAGATCGCGAGAGTCAGGAAGACGAACGTCCTCGAGGCCATCTATCACCACAGGATGCTCGTCCAAGTAGCGTCGCACAAGAGGGTGTCCGGGAAGATCACGCTGAAATATCGGCGACCAGTGCTTGCGCAGCTCTTCGAACACGTCCGCCTGGGCAGTCACGATCCTCTCCGCACCCTGTCCCAGGCCATGCGAGACACCAGAATCAGGAAGACGCAGTCCCTGAAGTTTAAGTGTGCGCTTGAAAGGAGTCCAGAGTGCTGCCCTCCGTCTGGTGGCACGCCTCATGGCGTTGATGTGCTGAAACGAAGTGCCGTCAGGAGGAGCCGCCTGAGCCCGCACAAACTATGTGGTGCAATTACTTTCTGTTCGCAGTGAATTGTCCACTCCACTGCTCGCGCAAACATCCCACCCACCCACCCGCAATTTGGTTTGCAAAATCTCTTAAGACCGTGACGGTGGGTACCACATTGCACTTGGCAACAACAGCGACGCCGACGACGACAGCGACAACGACGATGACGACGCCGCCGACAACGACTACGACGACACCGACGACGTCTCCAACGACTTCGACGACGCCGACAACGACGACGACGACGCCGACGACCGACGACGACGACGACGACACCGACGCCGACGACGACGTGACAACGACGACGACGATGACGACGCCGACGACGACGATAACGACGACACCGACGACGACGACGTCAACGACGCCGACGACGACGACAACGACGACGACGACGACGACGACGACGACGACGCGACGTCGACGACGACGACAACGACGCCGACGCCGACGACGACGACGACGAGACGACGACGACGTCGCCAACGAAGACAACGAGGAGGGAGGGAGGACGACGACGGCGACAACGACGACAACGACGAGGGAGGAGGGAGGACGGCGACGGCGCGAACGACGAAGAAGGAGGAAGGACGGCGACGCCGACGACGGCAACGACGAGGGAGGAGGGAAGACGACGACGACGACGACGACGACGACGACGACGGCGACGAAATAGGAGGGACGACGACGAGACGCCGACGACGGACGACGACGAGGGAGGAGGAGGAAGGACGACCACGGCGACAACGACGACGGAAACGACCACGACGCCAAAGAGGACGACGACGACGAACACGAGGAAAGACAGAGGACGACGTAGGCGACGACGACGACGACAAAGACGCGGGAGGAGGGAGGACGGCGACGACGATCACGACGACGACGCAAGAGTGCGCGCGCACGCTTTTGTTGAAAATCCGTGTTGCGAAACCTTGTGTTTTTGTAGGTTTTCTTGGACACACGCTTTTGAAATCCTTCCGAAACCGATGAGTTTTGAAGGTTTTCGGCATACGCGCGCGACGACGCGCGCGTCTGCACTTCGTCTCTTTTTGTGCAGGGGATTCTCGCGACGGCACACGCGCAAGGGCGTTCGACAGATTTCGACATGAGCGCGCGCGAAGCCCGTTTGGTAGCATTTTGTGTAAATCTTGAAAAACCCATGGTTGTCTTAAGATTTCGCAAGAGCTTTCGCGG